AGTCTTGTTCTGTCACCCTAGTTAGAGTGCAGTAGCATCATTCTAGCTTACTGCAACCTTAAACTCTTTGGCTCAAGCAATTCTCCTGCCCCAGCCTCCTGCCTCACCCTCCTCGGTAGCTGGAACTACAGGCACATGCCACCACTCCTGGCTAATTTTTATATCTTTTGTAGAGATGAGGTGCACACCACCATACCCAGCTAATTTTTCTATTTTTAGTAGAGACAGGGTCTCACTCTTGCTCAGGTTGTTCTTGAACTCCTGAGCTCAAGTGATCCTCCCACCTTGGCTCTCAGAGTGCTAGGATTACAGGTGTGAGCCACACCATGCCCAGTGGATTGTCTCATTTAATCTTTGCCATATCCTCAGTGGAATGGAGCATTTCCCCGTATTATATATGAGGACATTGAGGTTTAAGATCATATAGTCAGTGTCTTAGTCTGTTTTGTGTTGCTATAACATAATACCACACACTGGGTAATTTATAAAGAAAAGAAATTTATTTGGCTTACAGTTCTGGAGGCTGTGAAGTCCAAGAGCATGGCACTGATGTCTGGCAAAGGCCTTAGTGCTGTGTCCTCTCATGTCAGAAGGTGGAAGGTCAAGAGACTATGACAGCAAGGAAGGGCAAGAGGGGACCAGACTCACTTTTATCAAAAACCCACCCCTGAAATAATGGCATTAATCCATTCATGAAGGTGGAGTCATCGTGGCCTGGTCACCTCTTAACTGTCCTACCTCTTAACAGAAGAAGTATTAGGAGGTGGAACCTCACAAATGCAATGAAATTTCAACATGAGTTTTGGAGGAGATACTCAAACCATAGCAGTCAGTAAACAAATGAGCTGGGATATGAATGGATGAACAAGCTCATGTCACAGTGCTATGACTTAGAACTTTGAAATATGCTTGCTTTGTCATGAGAAGAGCTTTAAAGCTAGCCAGTTTTATTATATTACGTTTTTAATGTTTGAATAGGCAATGCAGTCATTGAAAGCATATCAAAAGGAGTGCAGTGAAAGTCTCCCTCCCACCTCAGTTCCCTGTTTACCTCCTTCTCACTTCATTCCCACCTCCACTCCAGACACTCATCTGTGTTTGCCCCCACGCTTTTCTTATGCAGATGTAAGTAAATATGAATATGTATTTTTTTGTTTCCCTCTCCCTTTATTTTACACAAAAGGTTAAGACCAGTCAAGTTAGGTTATTTGCTTTTGCAAGACTTGGCTGTGTCTTTAGCGTAAAGTACATCACAAAATGAATCTCTGATTAAATTATCTTTCATCTTGGAAAGATTCTTCATGCAGAGAGTTCAATTTGTTTAGATGGTAATTTCATATTGAAATTGATCTGGGGCCAAAGTCCAGCACTGCCAAGTCTTATGTAACCAACAGAAGCTGAGCTTTCAGCCAGCCGCCATATGTTGTGAGGAATCCAGCCAGAGGACTGGTGCAGACAGTTCTCAAGAAATAAGTTATCACTTTCAAAGTCTCAGAAATGTATACTAATGAGGTTATTAGGTGTGGCATGCTCTTAACAAAACACCCCTTTTCCATTCCTTGAGTCACTAGTAAAATACATCCCAAAATAGTTCATTTCAGGAGCTTTCTGGAATGGTTTGTCTTAGTGCTCCTCAAGGGTGAAGCTCTGGTGGACCCAGAGACTCATGGAGGACCAGGGCTGGGAGAAGTGTTTGTCTTACCACTAAGTAAGACTTGCAGAGAGGGCATGTGCCCCTCTCCAAGCCACTTATCCCGACCTTGCTGCTTTTGTTTTGCCTTTGTTTCCTCCCCCAGGTACTGGCGGAGGACATTGGGCATGCAGGTCCGCTACGTTCAGCATGGAGACTATCAGTTCTGTTACTCCTTCCGGGGCAGGCCTGGGCACAAGCCCTCCATCCTCATGCTTCACGGATTCTCTGCGCACAAGGATATGTGGCTCAGCGTGGTCAAGGTGCAGTTCTGGATTCTTCTCTCTTATAAGAAAATGTTTTCCACTTGGACATGATGTCACCAACAGTGGTAGAAAGCAAAGGGAACCCAGAACTGTGGGTCAAGTCATTTTAAAACTAAAGCAGTATATTATTCAAATTCTTTTGACAGACAAAATTTATCGAGTTGAATATTATTTATAAAACGCGTGCCTTAGAAATCTTTCCACCTTAGGAATATTTCTGAGGGGAGGGTTCTGACACAGCTTCATCTCAGAACTGGCACGATGATCAAGATGAGGCTTCTAAAATGCCATTTCTTCTTTTATACTCCCAGTTTCTTCTCTTCCTTCCCCTCCTTCTCCTCTCTTTACTCCTTCTCCTTTTCCCCTTCCCCCTCCTACTGCTTTTTCTTTTCCTTAGCCATTTAGAGAAGCGATCTTGATCTGGCAGCTTTCTAGAATAGTTTTCCCATCACCTTTGTCTTGGTTTGCTTGGTGTGGCCACCTGCTGGGCTTGGTAAGAGTGACCAGGAGGTGAAGACTGGGCTGGCAGAAGTGTTGGGCAGGAAGCACCAGGTTCCTCCCTCGGATAAGACCATACCTGAGGGATCCAAGTATTAGCTGCACTAGCAGGAAAAGGCTCACACATCCTCTAGCTACTTGTGTTCTTATTTCCAAATTCCACTATGAAGAGAGTCATCTTCATGCCTTAATGAACCCCTCACTTCCTGTCCTCACCTCAGATAAGCATCTTTCCTGTAATTGGGTATTTGTTTGTTGATACTTGATGCGTTGCTTAGTTTCTTGGTTAAAAGTGGTAAATATCTAAATGGAAGAAGGTGTTGTAGGATGATAATTATCTCAGGGATTAGACCTTAATGTAAAAAAAAAAGTTAAAACCAGCATCAGGGTGATCAGACCTGATTCTTGGGGAAGGCATTGCTCCTGTTGGCTCTGGAGCTGGCCAGGGCTCAGGGATAACAGCACCATCCCTTCTGGTTCCCCGTCAGTAACTGGACGGAGAAGGAGGTAGCACCTGTTAGCCGTTGTCAAGAAAGAGCAAGAGACTTAAGGCTGCTACCCTGACTTTTGTCCTTTCTTGCCAGTCATCTTCTGAGCCCCTTCCATCTGTGTATTAGTCTTTGGGGGCCTCTGTTCCTGATGGGGCTACTGGCAATGCTTGTTCACATTAGTAGGGTAAAACATTGAGTGGTCCAGACCCATACATCCCCAGGTATGCCATTCAGGTCACTTGGTAAGTGGGGACAACCTCCGCAGAAAGGTGGGCGGACATGTTTTATACACTGCATACTGACTCTCTGGGTCTATGTGTCCTCAGTTCCTTCCAAAGAACCTACACTTGGTCTGCGTGGACATGCCAGGACATGAAGGAACCACTCGCTCCTCCCTAGATGACCTGTCCATAGATGGGCAAGTCAAGAGGATACACCAGGTAAGCAGGAGGCTCCACCAAAGACTGTGCAGACTGGGTATTGGCCACCCACCATTTCATGCCCAACTTGAGAGCAGGGAAGAGCGTTCCATGCTGACTTATGGCCAGTCTCCAGTGCATTCTGTCTACAAGTAATTGCAAACAAAATGGCAGCACAGTGATATCCTTGGCCAGCCATGGAAAGCCAGGGCTTATTACAGACTGTTCTCCTCTAAGCCTATTGCAGTTGTTTGTGAAGAAATATAATCTGGGGATTTGTCTTAACTCTTTTAAAAAGGTGTTTAATATTCCTTAAAACCAGTTTCCTCTCTGGGGATCTATTTTCCTGCTTACCAGCTGCATAATAGTGGTAGTAGCCCCTCTTCCCAGTTGGGGAAGGTGCTTTTTGTGTTTTATCCTGTTTTAACATCTGTCTCTGGCCCCCTCTGGCTGGGCTTTCAAGGTTATAGAAGTGTACAAATCATTTCAGAATTTAGTAGCCCATAAGTTTCAGATTGACTTTATTTTCCCCAGATGAGGCTATTTATTTAATATCTGCTTCCTCCATTAAATTATGTATTTTAATGGGGTCAAGAACCTTATCTCTGTGGCTCTTTGCTGTATCTTCAGCAACTAATGCTAGTTCCTTATAAAAGATAGTCAATAAATACCTTTTAGATGGATGGATAGGTGGGGTGGATGGTTGGTTACATGACTTATTAGATGATTGGCTGTATAGATGGGTGGACAGTTGAATAGACAGATGGTTGGGTGGATAGTTGTATGAATCGATGGTTGGATAGATGAGAAGGGCTTTAAATTAGGGCAGGAGTCATGGACCTATTTACCTATTCTTGTAAACTAAGTTTTCTTGGAACACAGCCACACTCATTCATCTACATATTGTCTTTGGCTACTTTTGTCCTACAACAGCAGAGTTGAATAGGTGCAGCATAGATTTAGTCTCTGGACCTTTATAGAAACTATTTACTATACTTATATTTACTCTTTGGACCTTTATAGAAAAGTTAGCCGACTCATTAATTAGGGGAATCCTTGTTGGTTTTATACTTATAAATGACCCCTCAATCGCTTATGCCAGGTAAACAGAAGTACATGCACGCCCAAGGCTCATCTTGGTAGTGGATCCGTTAGAGTTTCAGACCCTCTTTTATCAACAGCCATTGTCTGTAGGAAGTACGGGGGCAGGGGTGGTGGTTCTACTCGGTAATCACCATTGTCATTGTCTACAGCTGTATAACCAAGCCTCCTTCTCATTTCCTTTCCTAGTTTGTAGAATGCCTCAAGCTGAACAAAAAACCCTTCCACCTGGTAGGCACCTCAATGGGTGGCCATGTAGCAGGCGTGTATGCTGCTTACTACCCATCGGATATCTCCAGCCTATGTCTCGTGTGCCCCGCTGGTGAGTTCTGAGGTTAAAACATCACTCGGCAGGGATGAATCACTGAAGAAACAGGTGGCCACTGTCTGCTATGGATGTTTTTTAGAATCATCTTTTTGATATGTACTTTAGAGATATGTGGTGTTCACTGATAACTCTAACCAAACAATAGTAGTATAATCATAATCATAACCAGATGGACTCTGAAAACATAGACCCAGGGCCAGGCATGGTGATGTGTTCCTGTGGTCTTAGATACTTGGGAGTCGAAGTGGGAGAATCACTTGAGTTTGAGTCCAGCCTGAGCAACATAGAGAGATCCTGTCTCTAAAACAAACAAACAAAAAAAAATGTTTAAAAATTTAAAAATTTGACCAGGTTTGGTGGCTCACGCCTATAATCCTAGCATTCTGATAGGCTGGAGTTCAAGACCAGCCTGAAAAAGAGCGAGACCCCATCTCTACTAAAAATAGAATAATTAGCTGGTCATGGTGGTGTGCACGTGTTGTCCCAGGTGCTTGGGAGGCTGAGGCAAGAGGACTGCTTCAGCCCAGGAGCTTGTGGTTGCATTGCAATGAGTCATGATGATGCCACTGCACTCTACCCAGGGTGACAGAGTGAGACTCTGTCTCATTAAAAAATTTAAAAAAGAAAATATAGAGCTAGCCTTGTTCCATCAAAAATGTGAGTTAATTATTAATAAAATATGTGTGGTGCTCTACAGCACATGAATACTTTGAAATATAATGTTAATATTAACCTCCAACATTTATTGAGCTCTTACAAGCTAAGTTCTTTATATGGATTTAATTTTTGCAAAAACCCTATGAGGTGAAGGTACTATTATTATGCCCCTCCCCTTTTTTGCTGAAAACTCAGATCTTTATTTATGACAATAAGATCTTTAAAAAAAAATTGACAAACTTTAGTTTATTCTTATATGTGTACATGTCAACATGAGCTGTAACATGTCTCTAGAGATTACCATCTGAAGTTATATTTTTAAAATTCATTTTTCTTCCATAAGTCTTCAAACTTGGATTTATAATGTGTAATAGATAAAATCTTATTTTCTCTCTTTCTAATTCTCTCTCTCTCCCTCTCTCTTTGGTACTTCATTGGGGTATTATTTACACATAGTAAATTGCCCAAATTTTAAATGTGCATCTTGATGACTTTTTGCATATGTAATTACCACCCAGACCAAGATATTATGCCCATTTTATAGGTGGGAACATTGAGGCACGAAGAAATTACATTAGTGCCAGAGCCAGGAGAGGAACAGATGCCAGTCTGTCTGACTCCAAAACCCAAGCTGTGGCTTTTTTGGAAGTCCTTTCCTATTTACCACTTCCTTTATTGACTCATATCCACTGCCTCCTTTATGTGATTCAACTAGAACCTAGCCATGAGTGCACGCTTATGTCTTTTACTGAAACTTAATTAAACTGACCTTTAAAATCCTTGTGCCATTCTGAAAGTTCATAGTTTTTAGATCTGTTAAGGACACTGAAGTTGAAGACAAGCCCACGAAAGGTTTTCTCTTCTCCCTTTTCCAAACACCACATCTGAAATCATTTTATCTTTTAATAATACAGTTTGAGAATTAAAGGAACAGCCCCTATGGAAAGGTATTAGATTTCAAATCACATATGAGAAGTCAAATCTAACTAGCTTTAAGAAAGTGTATGTTCATTTGCTCAGAGAATTTTACACCTAGTTTTAAGTGGAAATTTAAGATTAAGTTTGTTTGTATGTGAAAATGAAAAAGTAGAAATAAATTCAGGATTATGTCTTACCTAAATTTTTTAATAAACTTTTTTAAAACTTTGAAATAATTTTAAATTTACAGAAAAGTTGCAGATCTAGTACAGAGAGTCCCACCTACCCTTTTTCCAGTTTCCCTCATTGTTAACAGCTCACATTACTACAGTAAGTTTGTCATAACCAAGAAACCAACATTGGTACATTACTATTAACAAAGCCCCAGGATTTCTTTATTTGGATTTCTTTTAGGTTTTCCACTAATGTCCTTTTTCTGTTGCAGGATCCAATCCAAGATACCACATGACATTTAGCCAAGGATTATTTTTAAAAAGAGATGAAATAAGTAATGTAATCCACTCCATGGCATCGTGAAATCCATATACGATACCCATGTTAGATTTAAAGGAGTCACTGGGGCCGGGCACAGTGGCTCACGCCTGTAATCCTAGCTCTCTGGGAGGCCGAGGCAGGCGGATTGTTTGAGCTCAGGAGTTCGAGACCAGCCTGAGCAAGAGCG